GATTGTTTTGTTATACTCTGGGACTGGCATTTCATATCACTTGTGTGGAATCCTGAAATGTTGAAATGCAGATGTATTTTTCAATTTTGCAGCTGGATTTTATATTTAATAGGGTGGCCATACAGTGTTGGTGTAATTTTGGATTATAGTATCTAATTTTTTTTTGCTTCTTTGTTGCAGGGAGATGGATCTGTCGCTCCTACTGATGTGCCTGACAAAAAGGGTGATGCCTCCGAAGCCCTTGCGCAGGCGTTGCAAGAGAAGGTTTAACCTGTTCTTTTATGTTAGACATTTGATTGATTTGTTTTCTCCATCCATTATTTGTTGTTGAAATTTGTGCTTCATTGTAACTTGCTTTCCCTTCTCTCAGTTTGTTTTCTTTATTGTGTCAGGTTGCAGCATTATTACTTTTATCACAGCAGGAAGAAAGGCATTTACTGGAAAGAAATGTGAATGCAGCTCTTCAGAAGAAAATAGAAGAGCTCCAGAGGAACTTATTACAAGTAATTCCTCTTCAAGATAATAGTTTGAGATGTCATGCATGTTTTTTCTTCCAAGTGATGATAAATTTCTATATACGTAATGGTGTTACCTACTGTATCCAGACCCTATGCCTTTATTTTTTAAATTATCTAAAACTTTTGGGAGTTGGAAATGGTTTCTGCTTTTACTTCTGGATCTAAGAGGAGGTAAAATATAGGATCTTTGCATTTTCAGTAGTATATGGAGAGTTTGTGCAATGCACATTGCATAATTTTGTTTGCAGTTTTGATTCGTTTATGGAAAGCTCTATTCCAGGCAGCAATTTTGAGGGTGGAACCATATGCAAGTCACCTCTCTATAGGTCCCAGAGATGTCACTCCTTTTACCTAAAGGGGCAGCTGTCCTGACTGTTTGAAAAAGCTGGATTTGCTGTAGGTAAACTAAGTGTGTTGAAGGATTATTAGTTGTTCCTAGTCATTAAAAGGTCATTCTGTTTCTGATGCTAGAGAACTTAGAAGTCTTTGGAGTTTTTATCTTGTATCAAATTTTTGTTAGTGGTCTTGTATTTGTTGGTACCTCCTTGTTATGTTGTGAATAATACCTTTTCTATTATCAAAGAGGATATGCTAATTTGTTTCTAGTTATAACTTATGACGTTTCATTTTATTTCAAAAAAAAAAAATTATGATGTTTCATTGCTTCCTGTAAGCTTTGATGCTTAGGATATTGGCTTTAATGATTTTTGTAGCTATTTTTCTAAATTGATTCTATTTTGATAAATTTGGACCTATGGAAAACCCCCTAGCTGTTTGAGATGTTAGGGTTTAGTGCCGGTGGAACCAAAGAAGTACAGCATCCTTGTCAAATCCAGGGTCCAAATCTTTAGTTTGATTCCTTATTAACTTTGTTTATGAATATGTATTTTATGCGTTTACTTGGATGTTAGATAGTGCTAGGAAAAAAATAATAAAGTTTGTTTTTCTACCTGCTTAGGATAATTGATCTCTCAATTTAACATTTTAGCATCAAGAATTTGAATTGTAGCTACTTATTTTTTTTTCTGTTAGCAATTAAATTTAATGTAATATATTGTATGCCAATTCTTTGTCCATGTTATCAACGGGATTGCATGTGAGGCCGCATGTTTAAAACATACTATTGAGATGGGTAGATGGTCAGTTATTTTACTGATTAGAAAATGTTTCTTCCTTCATTGAGTATTGTCGCTTCATCTGAGTATGACTGAATTTTAGTAATTTTGCTGCTAAAATATTTTAATTCTGCATGAGAATTCGATTTATTCAGGTTACTAACGAAAAAGTGAAAGCTCTCGTGGAGTTGGCACGGCTGAAGCAGGAATATGAACTGCTCCAAGAGTATGATTTCCTATCTTGCTTCTTGATGTTACTTTGTTGTATGTATGAGTACTGGTAGGACCTTCCTGCCTTGGGTGGGTCACTATTACTTCTAGATTCAATTTCAAATAGGTTCTTAACCTTTGTAATTCTAAAAAAATATGTACTTGACATGGCAATCATTTCCAATTAATTTTTCAATAAGTTTTCAGTCAGTTCTTTTAATGAAAACTGGTATTTTGCAAATAAAAATTAATGTGACTGTCGCTTAACATAAGGGTCGTGTAAATGCCACATAAACATTAAATAATTTATATGGTGTTCAAAAAAGTCGATCTCCATTTTGTTTTCTCCTGTTGAAGATGGTCATAACAAATATGTTCAATTTAGTAAGAAAAAGGGGAACAACCAAATTTGATTTTTGATGCCCAATAATTTTTCTAATGGCTGTTGGTACCGATGCAGCTTTTATGATAGTTACATAAGATTTGTTTCTGCTGAATAATGATTAGCATATGGGAGGACTTGATTAGAAATGGACTAAAATGTTGAGTCCATTCAAGCACATCTGCTAACATCTTGCCTTTGTTTTTTTGTGTCATTCCTGATATTTGTGGCTTATTGAGAATATTTCTAACTAGAACATGTCATTTCTCTGAAGGAAAACAATTGATGAGCTGAAACAAGGAAAAGCTGATATTAGCGAGAAAAGGTCTGTTGCTCATGAAAGAGATGGAAAGTTAAGAAACCTGCTCAAGAAAACTTATTTGAACCGATGGGTTGGTCCACTATCATTGACTGCAAATGTTGTTGATCCACACTTGAATGATGAAAGGAATTTCTCTGGCAGGAGGTCTAGTAGCACGGATTATGCCAGGTCTGTGAAGATACTTGAGTCACCTCTTTTAATGAATGATTGGTGATGACAGATATACTTTTTCACCTTCATTGACATGTCAGTTGAAAGTGCACTCGTGTTGATTTATTTATTCTTTTCCATCTTTTTTGTTATTATTATTGTATTATTCTTCTTATTATTATTATTACTATTGTCATTGTAGAATGAAGATTGAAAATGTAGCACTCAAGGAGACCATGGAAAGTATGGAGTATTTGACGACTACAATTCACAGACTTCGGCTTGAACTTTTAAGGGTAATTTCTCATGGATTTTTATCTCAAGAATCTGGTATCTGCATTTCTTTCTTGACATAGAGCTGTGGTGGAATGCCAGATCCTACAGCAATATAGATGTCTAGAGAGATAAAAGAGTCCGAAAATATATTAGAGTAGGCACCAAAGGGGTGCCGCACATGTACAAAAAATTTACAAATCTAAAAGTATATCTACAATAAAACAAATATTATCAAGGTTACAAAGGTGATGATGTCCCAATAAGGTGGACCCAAAAAAGTGAAATTATTTGTACTTATGTTTTCAAAAGTATCCTCTTTGTCTTCAAAAGCACGGTTGTTTCTTTCTTTCCAGAGTATCCAAAAATTTGTGAGAGGAATAAGTCGGTAAATCTTGTTCCATTTGCATAAAAACTGCCAAGCATTTAGCTCCCTTTGTATTGAATCCACGGTACTCCAGCAAATGCCAAGTAGCCCCAAAACCATGGTCCAAAGCTGGCGGGAGAAAGGACAATGTAGTAGGAGATGATTACAGGATTCGGCAGCAACTTTACACAGGAAGCATCTGTTAGCCAGAGTAATACCTTTTTTCATGAGGTTATCAAGAGTGAGAATCCTTTCCTTGGCAGCTTCTCATGTGAAAAAAGAGACCCGCAGAGGGGCCGTGCTGTTCCAAATCAATTTAATAGGGAAATCAGGACATCTAATTCTGTTGTATGGAGTCAAAGAATGGTAGAAAGATTTTACCGAGAACATACCATTGTTGCCAATATTCCAGTGAAGTTTGTCCTTGTTATTGGTGAGTTTAATTGCGGATAAGAGAGTTAATAAGCTTTCATATTCAACAATTTTCCAATCCTTCAAATTCCTAGAGACCGCGATATTCCAGCCATGACCGTTTGCATCAAAAGAATTCTCAACCAACATCTTCTTGTCTTTGGCAATTGCGAAAATGCGAGGGAATTGATGTTGAAAATTGGAAGAACCACACCATTTGTCAGTCCAGAATTTACATTTGTTTCCTCTGTCAACAGCCCAAGATGAGCAATCCAGAACCAAATTGTTGATGCAAGAGATGCCTCTAAGCTTTTTCCATAAGCGATATAGCCCCCTCTATGGTGTGGATAATTTCCACTGATGTTCCATTTGCAGTCAACAATTTCTTTCCACAAGTTGTCACCTTCATTCCAGAATCTCTAGATCCGTTTGCCATGTAGGGCTTTGTTCATAATGGTTGGTGATCTAAGGCCGAGTCCCCTTGGGTAGTTTTACATCCTCCCATTTCACAAGATGGAATTTCCTTCTATTTTCCTCACTGCCCCACTGAAAATTGTGTTCTATTTTTTCTAATTTGTTAGCAACATTGGCCGGAATAGTGAGGACAGAGAGGTAGTATGTAATATAGATGTCTAGTTTTAGGATTACATGTAGATGTAGTTGCAAATTTCCTTACTTTTGGTTGTTGGATGTAGACTTAGAGTTTCTTGCACGTTTTTCATTATAATATAAATCGACTCTGTTTCCTGACAAAATCTAATACTTTGTGGTGTGGTTTGCCATAATGTACTTCACAGGTGAAAGAGTCAGTCAGTTCTGGGGATACACTTACTAGCATGTCAGCAGCTCTTAGCGACATCACTACCGAGGCAAATCTTGTGAAGACAGCTCTTGGCAGCTCCCTACCAGTCAGATGGTCAGCTGATTCTGATACTGGATCAATTAGTGATAACATGGGCAAGGTGCAAGGCATTGGCAATTCAACTAGTGAGAGGATAGACTCGGTTTCTGCTGCAGGGCTTGAGATGGTGGAACTTCTAATACTTGCAGCTCAATTACTGAAGAATGGAATGACCAAAATAAGTACCCAAAGTGAAGAATGACGCAGTTGGATTCTGTTGGTTTTGTTTTGAGGAGATCCTTCTGATGTTTCGTTCTTTGTATAAACCAATACTAGTGAAGTCGAACTTTTATCATGGACTACCAGGTGGGTGAAAACGACGAGAATTATATGCTGCACAAGGAAGAAATAGTAGGAAAAGATGGGCCCCATGCTGTACCTTGTCATCATCCACACTCAGTCCATCCAGCTGTTTAAATTGTACCTTGAAAGATTGAGTTCACTCTCGTCAATGCATTTGCGCGAAGGGGAGGGGGTTCATATTTATGAGTTGCTTGTATATTGTACAGTGACATTCCATCGGATTGCAACAAGCAAAGGTCGCTGAATGCTGAAGAATGTGGTTTCTTCTCTTCATTCCTTTGTTTGCAGTGGCAGCTTTATTTGTTAGTAGTTCACCAAATGATTTCTTATATTCTTCTTGTACACAAAGCCCATCTAATCTACAAGTACGAATTCCTGAATTACTATGAGCTGAACATTAAGAAAACCATATTACTAAGACTAATAGTGCTGATAGATATCACCAAGTTGAAATAGGGAAAAGTATTCATGTTTCCAGTGGAAGGTAGATTAAGTATGAGAAGTAGAAGAAGAAAAAAAAACCACCATGGACAAGAGAAGTCCAACTCAAACAGAAAAAGCATGTTTACAAGCTAACCTGGAATAAAACATGTTTTGCATACAGCTAAAAAACAAAAGCTCTTAAATCATTACGTAGGAAATAACTGTCCGCATAAATATGAAACCGAGTGTAAAAGGAACCGAAGCCTGCAGCTATTAAGTCTCGTCATCACCACTTTTTTCATTATCTCAAATTAGTCTCGGACAAAACTACTCAGCACGAAAAGTGTGGAACAAAAACCGAGTGGTACTTAAACCATTTCCCAATTAGCACTATTTCCATTTTTTGTAACTTCTACTAGAGAACTTTTTCAACCAACTCAGAGGTATTTATGCCTCTTCTTCCGGTGCAGCAACGAAAACGCACCGTTTAAGGAAACGGTGAGTTTTGGCTCTCACATGGACACGGGCTAAGGGAGATTGGGCTGGACGCAGCCCGTTTCTGACGGGCCTGTCAACACATTGTAATAGTTGAAATGGCAAAACTATGTTTTGTTGTTTTTTTTCTCTCTTTCCTCATTTTCGGGGAGGAGATCTTTCCAGGCGGGAAGGAGAGTAAAAGAAAGGAATTAGATGGCTCTGTTTGTGGATGAAGAGAAGAAACCACGTTCTTCAGCTTTCAGCCACCTTGCTTGATGCAATCCGATGGAATGTCTCTGTACAAGCAACTCACAAATACCGAACCCTTGCGCTTCGCGCAAATGCATTGACGAGAGTGAACTCAATATTTCAAGATACAATTTACACAACTGGAAGGACTGTGTGTGGACGATGACAAGATACAGCATGGGCCCTACTTTTCCTACTATTTTCCCCCTGTGCAGCATATAATTCTTTGTCTTTGTCCTGAGCATCCGATGGAATGTCTTTGTCCTCCTACCTGAGCATCGCATTGGCTGTATAGCCTTTTTTTTTTCTTTTCTCTGACCGGGTTATGGCGCATAAGTTTAATTGAGGTATCATGGTTTTCTCAATGTTGAGCTCAAAGTAATTCAGGAATTCGTACTTGTAGATTAGATGGGCTTTGTATATAAAAAGAATATAAGAATTCATTTGGTGATTTCTGTGTGTAAACCTCTTCTTTGATGGTATTCATTGAAGAACTAATCTGTCGAATCTCTCTCGATCAGATCAGGATTTGCTCCTATCAGTATTTGTTTGTTGAAAGATATTAACAGTAACAGAGAATTTATAGAAATTGATCTGTTAAGTTTTATCCAGCCATTTTTACTATCTAAACTAAAACGAAAACAGTTTCCAATGGATCATTTCACCACTCTGCTGCCTTCAGAAACCTATGTTTGTTCCCAGGACAGGTGAGAAAGAAAGGGTTAAAAGGACTACAAGAAGCACAGAGAAATTTTCATACTGAAAGCCGTTAGTACTGAACCAAACCAGAACAATTCTAATTGAAAATCTCACACCCACCTCACAGAAACAACCACCGATTATACATAAACCATATATATACCTCTTATCATAAAGAAACTGTAATCAGATGCGGCGATGACATAAAGATTTGAAGAGTACTGAACCGCCAATACAACACAGTATATATAGTCTCTTTCCCTTCTTTTTTCCTTTCTTTTGGGGTTCAAGTTTACGGGGAGGGAGGTACATACACACATACATACATACATACACATATATGGGGTTATTGTTATTATGATTCAGCTGCAATTTGTAGGGAAGTCATATTGTCAGGGGTGATTTTATCATCGTCGGTGATCTCGAGCTGGCTGTAGTTTCCCTTCTCCTTGAAGAGCTGAATGTGGTGGTGCTTGCAGTACAGAATTCCTTCGTGTGCAATGTAGTTTGATGGGCTGATTGTGCATCCTCCATGCGCGCATTTGAAGCAGCTCTTATGGTATGCAGCTCCATTAACCGACACCTTCATTTGGTAAACCCAATACATGTAAAGAACCAAGGACAAATTAGAAAATAGGTAAATAATAGGCCATGTAAAAGAGATGAAGTTTGTATAAGGGTAATTTTATCTCCTCTATTATAAGAAATTAGGGTTAGAGTTAGGTGAATGAAGAAACAAAAAGAACAGAACATGAGAGAAAATTGAATTATAAAGCTCTCTCTTTTTTTTTTTTTAATCCAATTCTTAAATCTTAATTATTAAATATGTAAAAATTAATTATTTGATGCGTGATTAATAATTAAACTACACTCATATATTAAATATATAACTATAAATTTTATCAAAATAAAATAAAAAAATTACAAAAATATGTCTTATATTTATGTACGAGTGCTTAGTTATACCTTCTCAATCGGGTAGACGGTCTTCTCGCAGCATACACATTTATCTCTAGTGCCAGCGAACATGTTAGATACCTTTTGTGCATTCTGTAAAACCAAAATCATTTTTAAGTTTAGAAGTTGAAGAAATAATTCTTTGCTTCAATTCATACATAAATAATTAAATAATATATATATATATATATACACATCCCTGGAACAAAATAATTTTGTTTACCTCCTTCTCAACCTGCTTTTCAGGTTTCACAATCTTCGGTGTGCCTGAGAAGAATAACGGAGGAGGAAAAAGAGCATTGAAATATATTCTGAATAGAAATTAAATATTCAAAGGTTCATACATATATGTATATGTATACAACATATACACATATGATTTTAGAAAGAGAGAGCAAGTTTTGAGATGCGGTTTCCTTAATTAAAAGAATACCTTCGAAACTCTTATCCAAACTGCCAGTTCTCTTGAAAAGTTGATCAAAGTGAGGCCTGCAGTAGAGAACTCCCTCGAAAGAATTGAAGTTGCTGAGCTGCAAATTCATAGAAGAAAAATTTTCAGCGATCCAATCGAATATTTTAGGGGAAAAAGACGGCAGGCAAATTTTTCTTCAAACAAATGTGATCACTGTCCTGAGAAAGAAGCCATGAAGTTCTCTATGTTTATATATATAATACACGCAAATAATACAGTATGTATATTATATATATTATATAGAGAATTATACGTACATGTTATACAAATATTTGATCAAGAGTGTCTGATTCATATCAGTTACACGTGGTGTTATACAAGTTTTAAGTACTATGCATCAAGCGAACCGCGCATGCATCAAGCGAACCGCGCATGCATCAAGAACATATACAGACAAGTAGTTACCGTACATACGTTGAGCTAACCACGCATACATCAAGAATAAGAACACGCAAATGTTAATTATATATACCTTGAGGGTACCATTGCAATGGTGGCAGCGGAAGCAGGCTTTATGATAAATCCTGTTATTGGCTGCTAATTTATCAACCAAGTAAACCGTCTTGGTGCAAGCCGTACATTTTTGTTGAGTTCCTGCAAAGGTGGCCATGGCGGCTTCTTCCTCCCCAAACCCTAGTTTAGGACAAGGAAGGCCAGCTCGTTCGGTGGCAAGCCCCACCCAAAAGAAAAAAAAAAAAAAAAATTTGTTTTGTCCTCTGTTAATTTCTTTTCTGATTTTACCCACTAAAAAATTGATCCTTTTCTCTCAGGATTTTGTGTATTTATAATTAAAGTCTAAAAAAAGAAAGGAAAGGAGATGATGAAGGTTTGAGTGGGGAGAAAATAGAGGAGTTCCAGGAAATTGCGGGTAATTCATGAAATAAATCAGATCATATATATATATATACATAGAGAGAGAGAGAGAGAGAGAGAGAGAGAGAGAGAGAGAGAGAGAGAGATGGAGGTTGCGCCATATCCTTTTCATCATCATTTTCTCCGGATTTAAAGCAAATTCCATTTCATCCATACCATGTCATGATTATGTGTGCATGTACATGTATGTATGTGTGTGTGTTAACAACCACTTTTTAACTTTTTCCTTATAATTATATCCTTCATATCTATCATATATAACAGTTCAATTTGGTTGGCATTATGGCCATGATCCCATAAAAAGGTTGTTAATGGAAGAAGGCTGCCAACTTGGGGAAAAGAAACTCAAAAGGCCATTTCAGTTTACCTGTTATTGAGCAGAAGAAATTTTCATGGTGAAAGTACATTTCAAATCATCAAAGCTCAATATAAATAGCATGCAATCAGTATTTTAAATGTAATATTGTAAGTTCTTACAACAAAGACATTAATTCTTAAAATTCTATTGTCAATTTAAGTTTTGCATAAATCATCCGAACCAGGTAAGATCAAAGCACCCAATCACAAGAGCCAGAAAGAAAAAGAAATTTAATTCAAAGAATAAATAATAGAAGTTTTTACAGAAAGACAAAACCTCAAATTGCTTATTTGGTCTAGTGGTATGATTCTGCCTTTTGATTCAAGCATTTATTACACTATGACTTGGCAAATGACATACCTTTTTTTTCTTCTTTTCTCAAACTATTCTTCATCAATGAATTGGAATGAGTAAATCTCCAAGAAGTACTACAAAAGTTATGAGAAAAGAGGAAAGATAGTACCATACTTGAATGTGCAATTATTATCATTTTCTAAAAGTTGAATGTGCAATTATAATCTTACCTCAACTGGAAACTATAAGTCAGTAGAAAATCCTGAAATCATCTCAGAAAATGTTGAAACCTCTAATATAGTACCAAGTTTTTAGATGTAAAAATTTCAACAGAGAAAAAGGACATTTGGTCTGGGGTATGATTCTTGCTTAGAGTTCAAGAAGTGCTGAGTTCAATTATTGAATGCCCCTATCAAAAAATACAACTTTTTCATTAAATTAAAAAAAAAATACAACGGCATGAAAAAAAAAACATGAATGGCATATACGAACAACAAAGCATTTGGAATACAATTTCTTCATGAATAAAAGAATTCAACTATGGAATCTGAAAAGGCACAAACAGTGTCTATGAAAAACATGACATTTGGTCTAGCGGTATGATTCTTGCTAAGGGTGCAAGAGGTCCGAGTTCAATTCTCGGAATGCCCTTACCAAGAAATTCAATTTCTTTATGAATGAAAACATACAACTATAAGAATGAACAGCATTTACAGACAACAGGGCATTTGGTCTAGTGGTATGATTCTCGCTTAGGGTGCGAGAGGTCCCGAGTTCAATTCTCGGAATGCCCCCTTATCTCATCATTACTTAAAATATTTTTGCCCCCATATCAGAGCTAATATTTCAGCAATCAGACCTTAAGTTTAACACCAAATCTTAAAACTTCTTAATGAATCAAGAAATATTTTTTTCCTCAGGCAAGATTCTTCAGCAATGAATTCCACAAATAAATCATGAAAGACTCCCAAATTCTCCAAACCAAGTTGGAAAATAGTTGTCTGAGGAATTTTCCTTTTAATAAAATCTGCCCATGAGAAAACTGGTCATTGCAAATTAACAAGAGGGAAAGACATAGTATCAAGGAAAAATTTGATGGAAAGTATAAGTACTAGTTTCAGCTGGTTTTAAATTTTTATAAAGAAAAGAATCATAGATCAGCATGAGATTTGAATGTATGCTTTAATCATCTACCCATTTTTGGACACCACAACATTTTGTCCTTCAATTTGCAGAGTTTCCCGTGAAAAAGTTTCTGACCTTTCTCAGGAAATGTCCAAACTTCCAACTGTATTTACACTTGAAAGTTTTGTCTGCTCCCACCTACAAAAACTATGACACCAAGATCAAAAACCAACTAAATAGGCAACAGTACTACATTTTTATAAATATTATTTTTTAAATTAACAGACATAGACCTTAATTATATTACAAATGTATACACCAACACACGTGAGACCAGAAAATAATGATTCTCTGATGGAAATTTCACTACTAATCACAAATTGGGCATTTGGTCTAGTGGTATGATTCTCGCTTTGGGTGCGAGAGGTCCCGAGTTCGATTCTCGGAATGCCCCTCTTTTTGTCCCAAATCCAATGGGCATGCTCACCTAAAAGTCAACCAAACAAGCATAATTTTTTATGAATGCAGAAAATTTTCTTTTCTGACAAGATTCTTCAGCGGCAAATTGGCATCCATAAAGCACAAAAAACTTATTCCAAGAGTTCTGAAATCAAGGCGGAAAGTTGGGAACATATCTAAAATTAATTTCCATGTGGAGTAAGAAATTCACCTCTGAAGAAAACTGGTCATAAAAAATAAACAGGATTGGGAACTGTCAATGTACATTTGGTGAACAAGTTCTCATTCCAAACAAATTTTAAGTTTTTTACAAAACAGTTCGAGGTCAGTAGAAAATCCCATACTTCAATTGGATTGCCTCACAAGCAAAAGTTTCTGATCTCTCTCAGAAAAGTCCAAACAGCAAATTGAATTACCAAGTTGTTCAGTTTCTCACTTACCAAACTGACACCAAAAGCTGCCTAGCATAGCAATTTCTGATCCCTTAGAAAAATGTTGTCTTTAAATAGACTAAAGAATATGGAGAAAGTGCTGATACATTTAAAAAGACTATGATTCCTCTCACAAAATGTTCAAAGCTCCAAATGTGTTTGTATGTTCTTATATAGCAACCATCACAACTAGGAAACTGAAAGCTTGTATGTTCTTAAATAAACTTAGACTAGTCGTATAATTTTCGCTTAGGGTGAGAGAGGTCCCAAGTTCAACTATTGGAATGCCCCTTACACAAAATAAAATTTCTTGACAAATCAAGAAACACACTATTCCCTGACAAGATTCTTCTGCAATGAATTAGAATATGAATCATATTGTAGAAGATATCTGCCACAAATTTCAAATCCGATAGTTCTATGTAGGAAAAAATCATTCCTGAAGAAAATAGGTTCTTGCATAGTAACCAAAGGGAAAGGCACCCTGGCAAAAAAATTTTATACATACAATGAAAGAAGAAATGTTATTAATTTATTAGAAATGAAGAAAAGATACAAACATAACCTATCCTCAAAAGTGAAAAGCAAAAACTCCCTATTTTATTCAAGAAAAAAAAAGGATTTTTAACAGGCACCAAGGAAATGTCTTCCAAGAACTTAAGAAAAGGTCAGAAATAAGGTTTTATAGGTAATTATCATAAGTAATCAAATTCCCTATAAACAAAACCTTAGGAAATGGAACCAAGCATCTCTAACCTCAAAAAGAAAGTAAATACCCTTGAAAACTCATTAGTTTCTCTTTTCAAATGACCCAAAAATAGTCAAAAGGAAAATGTCCTTTTAGAGTCACAAACTCGGTTATCCCCATGCCCAAAATCTAGTCCGCCATGCTGGAAAGTATAAACAACAGATTCAGAAAGCTAAATGCTGAATCCCACAACCTTGTAGCCTCCAAGCACCAAAGAAGGAGATGGTAGGGGGGATTCCCACCCTTTTAAGGCACAAAGGGCATCAAAGTAAAAGCTCTATTATTAATAAAAGAAAATTTTGAATTCTATAGAGATACAAATATGATAATTTAAATTAACAGAACTATATGGTATTAGTTACGACTGGAACATTTTAGACATCAATAACAGGGCATTTGGTCTAGTGGTATGATTCTCGCTTAGGGTGCGAGAGGTCCCGAGTTCAATTCTCGGAATGCCCCTCATCTTTTGCCACCACCAAAACTTATTTGTTTTCCTATAGTAAATATTTCAGCAACCAAACCTATAGTCAATGTTACAATATAAAATCTTTACATATCAATAAACAGTTTTCCCTCAAAAAATTTTCCTCCAGACAAGATTCTTCTGCTACAATTAGAATAAACAAATCATATAAAAAAAACGCCAGAAATTCCAAAATCAAGGTGGACAAATGGGAAGTCTTAGAAACAAATAGTCATCTGGCAAAGAGAAAATTCTTCCTCTGAAGAACAGGTCAGTGCAAATTAACGAGGAAATTCTGGGCGGAGGTATCGAATACTCATTTCAGCTGGTCTTAGGTCTATATAAAGAAACAAAATGCATATTTGAAAGTCTGAAGTTGTCTGTTCCCACGCTCAAACATGATGACAATAAGAACCAACCAACAGCATGGGAAACAATATATATATGTGTGTGTATATGTGTATATTAATAAAAAAGAAATATTATTAGAAAGGAGGACCAACGACTTACAAACTAAAAAAGATTTACAAAAAGAATAATGAGATAAAGGGTTGTTGCCTTGAATGAAAGAGGTTAACCAAAAAATAATCTAACTATCATACCTCATTGCAGTCATGAGTATAGTTAGGCACGTTGCTTTATTTTTAATATGTTGGATGCAAAAAGTCAACGATAGCAATTGCTATATCACAACTTGTGCAGCTAGATGTTCTCAGAACTTTTGAAGGATGTGAGAATAATAGGACTACGAAGGTCGACATGCAGCTTGAAAATTTCTATAGCATAAGAGAAATTCGGATGAATTGTAAAACGAACAATAACAAATGGGCATTTTGTAGGTGGAATGCTTCTCGCTTCAGTTGCAAAAGGTCCCAAATTTATTCTCGAAATGCCCCCAGAAAGTTAAGGCATGCAATAATGTTCGACAGCCTCGAATTTGGAAAGTAACTCTTGTCTAAATTACCTGATCATTTTCATAGATAAAAACTTTGACCAGTTTTAGTACACTTCGAAGTTTGAAGTGAGTTTTGATTCTTCGAAAATATTTACCCAAAATGCTTTTTCTTTACCAGTTAAGACCAAGCTGCCCTGTTAGAAGCCAGCAACAAAAAGGAAAATACTATTACTGCAAACTGATAAAAGAATTATGTAATACAAAAAATAAAGTACTCTAATTGGTCATTTGATCTGGTGGTATTATTCTCATTTTGGGTGCAAGAGGTCCGAGTTCAATTACCAGAATGCCCCCTATCTCATTAAAACCTATAATGTTTTTCCCGTATATCAGAGCAAATATTTCATCAATCAGACCTCAAGTTAGCACCGCATCATGAAACTGCTTAATGAATCAAGAAATATTTTTTTCCCTTGACAAGATTCTTCAGCAATGAATTCTACAAATAAATCGTGGAAGGCTCCCAAATCTTTGAATCAAGGCGGAAAATAGTTATCTGGAGAATTGAAAAAACAAAGATCTGCCACTGAGAAAAATTGGTCAATTCAAATTAACAAGAGGGAAAGACATAGTATCAAGGAAAATTTGAAGGAAAGTATCAAGTACTTGTTTTAGCTGGTTTTATGTTTTTATAAAGAAGAGAACCATAGATCAGCATGAAATTTGAATATATGCCTTAATCATCTATCCATTTTTGGACACTACAACATTTTGCCTTCAATTTATAGAGCTTCCATGCAAAAGTTTCTGACCTTTCTCAGAGAATATCCAAACTTCCAACTGTATATTTGCACTTGAGAGTTTTGTCTGTTCCCACCCACAAAAACTATGACACCAAGAACACCAACCAGTTATAAGCAAGAGTATTACATTTTTACACATAATATGTTTTAAATTAACAGACATAGATCTTAATTGTGTAACACATGTATACACCCACTCGCTCATCAGATCAGAAAATAATAATCCTCTTGTGATAATTTCACTAATAATCACAAGTTGGGCATTTGGTCTAGTGGCATGATTCTCGCTTTGGGTGCGAGAGGTCCCGAGTTCGATTCTCGGAATGCCCCCCTTACCTTTTTGTCCCAAATCCAATAGGCATTCTCACCTAAAGTCAACCAAACAAGCATAATCTATTTATGAATGCAGAAAATTTTCTTTTCTGACAAGATTCCTCAGCAGCGAACTGGCATCTATAAATAAAAAAAATATTCCAAAAGTTCCGAAATCAAGGAGGAATCATACCTGAAATTTAATTTCCATGTGAAGAAAGAAATACGCCTCTGAAGAAAACAGATCATAACAAATGAACAAGATGGAGGAACTGTCAATGTAAATTTGGTGAACAATTTCTCATTCTAACCAAATTTGAATTTTTTTAGGAAGCATTTTGTAGTTTGAGGTCAGTAGAAAACCCCATAATTCAATTGTATTGTCTCACAAGCAAAAGTTTCTGACCTCTCTAAAAAATGTCCAAACAGCAAATATATATTTTTTTTTGGGAAATAAATCCAAACAGCAAACTATGTTTCTCTCTTACCAAACTGACACCAAAAGCTGCCTAGTGTAGCAATTCCTGATCCCTTAAAAATATGTTGTTTTTAAATAAACAGAAGAATATGGAGAAAGTATTAGATGGCATCACATTTAAAAAGACTATGCTTCCTCTCACAAAATGTTCAACCTCAAATTCTGTTTTGTAACTTCTTATATAGCACCCATCACAACTAGGACACTGAAAACAGTACGAGTAGCAATAACAGGGCACTAGGTCTAGTCGTATAATTCTCGCTTAGGGTGTGAGAGGTCCTGAGTCAATTCTTGCAACGCCCCTTACACAAAATAAAATATCTTAATAAATCAAGAAACACATTTTCCTGACAAGATTCTTCCGCAATGAATTTGAATATGAATCATATAATAGAAGATATCTGCCACAAATTTCAAATCCGATAGTCTTATTATGTAGGAAAAAATCAGTTCCAGAAGAAAACAGGTTCTTGCAATTAAAAGAGGGAAAGGCACAGGCAAAAAATTTTTATACATACAATGAAAGAAGAAATGTTATTAATTTATTAGAAATGAGGAAAAGGTACAAACATAACCTATCCTCAAAAGTAAAAAGGAAAAAAGTAAAAGCTGCCTATTTTCTTTAAGAAAAAAAAGGATTTTTAACAGGCACCAAGGAAATGTCTTCCATGAACTTAGAAAAAGGTCAGAAATAAGGTTTTATAGGTAACTATCATAAGTAATCAAATTCCCTATAAAAAAAACACTTAGGAAATGGAACCAAGCATCACTCATCTAAAAAAGAGAGCAAATGCCCTGGAAAACTCATTTGTTTTTCTCTTTTTAAATGATCCAAAAAATAGTCAAAAGGAAAATATCATTTTAGAGTTACAAACTTTGATCCCCCAATGCCCAAATCTAGTCAAACAAGCTGGAAAGAGTCACGAAAGATTCAGAAAGTTCAAAGCAGAATCCCATAATCTTGTAGCCTCCAAGCACCAAAGAAGGAGATGGTTGGGGATTCCCACCCTTCCAAGGCGCCAAAGACAGCAAAATAAACACCCTATTATTAATAAAAGAAAATTTTGAATTCTGTAGAGATATAAAGATTAAGTTTTAAATTAACAGAAGTATATGATAATATTTAGACATCAATAACAGGGCATTTGGTCTAGTGGTATGATTCTCGCTTTGGGTGCTAGAGGTCCCGAGTTCAATTCTCGGAATGCCCCCTACCCCTTCCCCTGACACTCTTTTTCCCACAGACTGCTTTTTTAGGTCCCTTTGAGCAGTCAGACTAACAGTCAACACCAGGATGACCTTTTCGCCGATGCTAAAATCAAGAATCATAAACATGATACAAAAGATTTCAAATCAAAGTGGAAAGTTATAATCATATTTGAACTCTGAACATCTTACAGAGAAACATATATTTCAAGGGGAAGTTCATATGCTATTATTAATATTTTTTTGAAATAGAAGTTAATATGCTATTACAATTGGCTTTGACTTTTTTAAACCTTGAAAATGCAATACTTTTACCTCATCTGGTGACCAGAGGTTGGTGGAAAATTCAAAATTTCTTCCTTCAACTTGTACAGCCTTGCATGCAAAAGTTTCTGATCTTTATAAGGAAATATCCAAGCCTCTAATTGCATTTTGAGGTTGACAGTTCCTACCTCCCAAAACTATGATGCCAAGAACTGCACCAGCATCATGGCAAGAAATTCTTTTTTAGATTAACAGAATCATCTGCATGATATAGTGATTACAACTGGAACATGTTAACCATCAGTAACAGGGCAGTGGTTTAGTGGTAACATCCTCAGTTAGGGAGCAAGAAGTCTCAATCTATTCTCGGAATGCCCCTACTTTCTCCCATCCTCCCTTTTTACTTTGCACATTTTTTTAGGTCCTTATGAGCAGTCAGAACAAAAAGTCAACACCATAATAAACAATTACTAGATCAATCCAGAAACCTTTCTTTGGTCAAGACTCTCCGGTAATGAATTGAAGCCAATATATCATAGTACACAATTTTGAAATCAAGGTGGAAAGTTAGGACCATAACTTGAAATCAAATTTTCATCAGGAGAACCAAATTTGTCTGAAGAATATTGCTCATGGACAATGAACAAGATGGAATACCATATGTCAGCATCCATTTTGGCAGCAAGTTCAAATGCTCGTTGAAATTGACTTTTAATGTTTGTTAAACATTGTAAATGCAATTATATTTGTATGTAATTTTTTAATTTTGAAATCAGAAGAAAATTTAAGATTCTAGACCTTCAACTTTTACAGGGTGGTACCCAAAAGTCACTAACATCTACAAGCAAACATCCAAACAGCCAATTATATATTCCTGTTGCTCAGTTCCACCTCCCAAAATATGATACAAAAAACTGCCACCTACAGCATAGGATTTATTTATTCTGAAATAAAATGTTTTAAATAAACAAAAAACGTATGGTAATAATTATCGCAAGACCATGTTTCAGATTATAACAGGGCATTTGGTCTAGTGGTATGATTCTCGCTTTGGGTGCGAGAGGTCCCGAGTTCGATTCTCGGAATGCCCCCTTCCACACCCATTTTTTTTAGTTCCCTAAACTTGTTCCAGACAGAATTCTTCAGCAATGAGTTTGAATCAATAAATATTAAAATATGTGAGCCATAAATCTCAAAATCAAGGTGTAAAGGCAGGATGTTACCTTTCAATCTAATATCTGGAGAAGGAATCCCTGGAAGTAGAGGAACAAACAGATTCTGATGAGGTAGAAGTAATTTGACACTCCTTTCTTTTGGATAACTGGTCAAGCTCTCTCCATGAAGAACAGCCAGTTGACCTCATAACTAACAAGCAACACTGCTTCCCTGGCAATAATAACAACTGAACTCAACCATGCCATTTGCACAGCCATGTGGAAGAAAATCATATAACAAGTAAAACTAAAGGAAAACCATGTGCAGAGAGGTTGACAAAGAGCAAAGAGCAAATTAATGATAAAGCAAAAGTTAATCCCAATGGTGAAGGCACATAACACTCATTTTTCAATGAGAACAATATGAACCCCCCTACCCCCCCCCCCCCCCAAAAAAAAAAACCTGCTGCAGGTTTTTCAATGAAGCGGGTTGTTTCATCAACAAAGCTACCCACACCCTCAGAAACAACAGCTCTAGGCCTTGCTCAAGGACAACACTTAAAAGAAACCCCTCTTCCAGTAGATAGATCAAGCCTTGGGCTCGATTTCTTAGTTTACTCCACAACAATTTGCACCTGTTAGTAGTAGAATTGTTTTTTTAAAATAGAAACAAAAACAGAATTTATCTGCAAATACCTGAAATGAAAATTCAAATAACAATATAATGTACCAAACTTTCAAGCTCGACCCACAATATATGTAAAATGTCCATCAGAGAAAAGGGAACAAACACCAAAAGCTTAAAAATGCTGTTGAACTATGAAACTAATAACCGAATAGCAGTTTCATTTCAAATTCTTGCATAAAATAAAAAATATAACAGAAAAAGCTTCTCATATAAACATCAAATTATTCAAGGAACTCAAAGTACAGGGGCAACTAAATAAACTCACTTGTATGAAGTCATATGCTGTGATTTCGTTAACACCAGCCATTTCTACCACCTCGACGTATAAATAGAATATAAGGAAACTAAACAGGGAAAAAAGCCCAAAGTATATACGTACCAGCAATTTGTTATCCTCCTCTAAACGACGAAAACAAAAAACTCCCGAACAAAATGTCCAACGAAACAAACAGGGGCTACTATAAGAACTTAGAAACTATAACCGGCCAATACAAGGGAAGCTGATCAAACATAAATCGTCATAAGAAAAACGAAAAAGAGTTACCCCAGCAGACAATACCTAGTGAACTGATACTAAGGAGCCGTACTATTTGGCCGATATACGAACAACGCGTTAGCGTTTGTAACACGCCTGTATGTTTAGCTGATTTCTCTTCGGTTGGAAATCAAGGATTAACCTAGTTCCTCAGTGCAAAAAAGAAAGAGAGCTGTCGATAGTTCACAAACAGTTGATTGACAGCTTAAAAGCAGAGTATAAGTACCTCCAATCTTCTCCGTTATTATTCTCTTCTTCACTCTCAATTCCTCTTCGTTTTCTTTCCCACTCTTCTTCTTCTGCTACCTCTGTTACGGAATTCTTCTGGTATCACGAACCAGGGCTTCGTTCTTGAACAAAACCCTCCTTTCCTGAAGAAGCAGAACGGTTTTCATCAAGTTCCATGGCGTGCTTATCCTTTTCACTTTAATAGCGACCAACCCGAGACGGACATTCCTTAGAAGGTCAGCAGCTTCCTTTTGACCATGACAACTCACTATGTGGGGCCAGCTCTTTCCAACAATTTATTTTTAAAAAAATTACATAAAATTTGTATTTTAGTTAATTTATTTTTTTAATTAACTAAAAATTTTATTAAATAATATTTTTGTGAGATTTATTTGAATATAATTTTCAAAAATTATATTTCTAAATAATTAAACATTAAATAACCCTCCCTCAATCATAGTTTTAATCAACTACTAATTAATTTAATAATTAATATATTATTTTTTTCTATGAACTTTAGTGTATTATTTTATAAAAAAGAATAAATATATATTCAATTCATGTATAAAATATATATCTAATAATTTTATTACAATTTTTTAATCAGATATTTGTTCAACTTGATAACATTAAATTTATTAATTTTAACATTTTAAGGTAAAGTGAAAAATACATTATATAAGTATATAATACAAAATAGTTTTAATTTTTATAAGATAATATTTATTATAATTATATTCAAACATCAAACACCCTTGTACATATATATCAATTTTATTATATAATATATTCACCACTATATAATTTTTTTGTAAAAAAAATAAAAACATACAATTCATTAATCATGTAAAATATTTACACTAATCATAATGCAACCTTATAACAGATATTACATAAAAATAACTAATTTGATTAAAATTTATAATTTTTTATAAAAAATATATATATATTTACCAACGTACGTTCTAATTACACTTTAAAATAATTTTTTTTTATCACTTTTCATTTAAAAAAAGAGCGAGCTTAAGGTGAACCAGAAAAAAAAAAAACCTGTAAAAGAACAACTCCAAATCACAATAGTCATAGCAATTTATACTGCACAGAAGATTAACTAATACCTGCACATAAAATTACAAAAACCTCAAACCACATCAGGCCACAAAGTCATGAACACCCGGCTGTCAATCCAAACAACATATAATATGATTCAAGTCAAGAAGGAAAGTGAATAAATGGTCAGATGTCAACAGGAACTGGTCAGAAGTTCGATGGACAAGCCCTGGAACGTAGCCACTGGGAATGGTCGAACCACGTTGAGAGTATAAAAGAAGAGTTGAAGGAATGAGACTCAATTCTTCGATTTTGAATGCTTTACAAGCCAATCGATGACCATGTCAATGTTACTAGAATTCTTGCACGAAACCATGAAGCAACAAACTTCTCTATCGGTAATGGACTTGAGCCCCCTGCATGAGGAAACAAAGATAAGCTCGGAAGACACAGACAAAAGACATATATGTATATAACTGTTTTGAAAAGCTATACAAGCTATAATAGCTGAGTTCCACGAATTATATATTTATGCCAACCATAGCGTGAGCAATATACAGCAGTTGATCACTTCTATCTCACCGCCACTTACATTTGTTCCGCT